TCAGAACTAGAATCAGAACATATAATAGAGCATGAGTAAGCTAAAAAGATACGTCACCACTATTGGCGCTGTAGGATAAGCACTGAACCACAAGGTCTGTTTGAATGGCAAGATCAGCAGTTCCAACTCACCAGCTAGTCCTGGGAAACCCTATGGAGCATCGTCGCTCTGAGTCAGAACTGACTTGACAAAACTTAAACAACAACAAAGGCTTGAAAGGAATAAACTAACAACAACATGGGTAAATCTCAAATACATCTGGCTAAGTGAAACAAGTCAGACTCAAATAGTGCATGCTGTATGATTCCATATACATGGCATTCAGGTCATGGCCAAACTCTGGTTACCACAGTTGGCAGTGGAAGTCTTTGGGCTTGATTGTGGTGGTGATTACACAGTTGTTTGCGTTTGTCAAAATTCTCAGAACTATAAGCACTGGACTGCGAGCCACAAGGTCAGCTGTTCAAACCCACCATCTACTTCTTGGAAACCCTATCCAGGGTCACTATGAGTCAGAACTGACTGGACAGCACACAACAACAACAATATACCAAAAGGGTGAATTTTACTGTTTGTAAACTATGTAAACTCAGTAACTCTGCCTTAAAAACACTAAGTGCTTGTAAGTGTTAATGCAGGCCAGTATTTCCTATGAGTATAAAGGATAGCATGCTAAACTATTCTGCTGAAATATTAATAGATTTCTTATGGATTTTTAGGCATTGGGTTCACTTGATACAGGTTTGATGATATTTTTATTTCAATAGATATTTGACTTTTACCTCTTGGTCCTCTATAAGTAGTACATTTAAAACCTAGAAATTATTTATATGTTTTTCAGCTTCTTGGAATATATTGCCTATGTTTCATAGTTTTCTACATCAAGAGCTTTAGGCTACATATAACATATAATCTGACTCAGCCTGATTTATGCAATAAGGGATTTTATTGACTCTCCACAATCTTAACTTTATTCTGGGTTATGAGATGCCCTCACAAAGCACTCAGGCCTACATGTACTCGCATTCATCTGATACATCTGAGAGCTCTTTTCCATTACTCTCCCTGAAGAGTAGGGGGGCCTACCTTTGCAGAGGTACCAGTGTATAGATTCCCTCAAGTGTCATTGACTCATATTGAACAAGTCACTGTGACAGATGAGATGGGTACTCTGAAACTCAGACCATTCAGAGCTCTCACTTAGAAATGTGAAAGAGATCAGTTTCCCCAAAGAAAATGCCTTTGGGGAAGTGGCAGGATAAATACACCAACCAAATCTGGAGACTGTTGAGAAATAGGAAGAAAAGAATGCCAGGTAGACAACCAGCAATGCCAGTGTTTTACCCTGAGTTTATTAAGCTAAACCAAAACCTTAATTAATAGTAGAATTTGATGACCACATGTTCTAATTCCAATATTTCTGAGATTGTAAATTACATAAACATTATATTACTTTATGAACTCCTAGTGTGACACTATAGGATAAGCACTGGACTGCGAGCCACATGGTCAGCGATTCAAACCCACCAGCTAGCTGTTTCTTGGAAACCCAGTACAGGGTTGCTATGAGTCAGTCAACTTGATGGCACTTAACAACAATAATATTACTTTATATAAAGATTTTACATAACTCCTCTGTTGCTGCTAAATGCAAAATAGGCCACTTTCCATGTTAGAATAGATGTATCTCCTATGTGTGGAACACAGTGTAGCATTCATACAGCTCAATACCATTTTGTTCATAGTTTAATATAGCATTCACTCAAATTGTATGCTGATTTAAATGATGCTTTGCATCTGCTTTGCTCTAGAGGTCTTTACTAAACCATTGTTGTTTCATACTCTTCTAGAGTGATAAAAGTAACTAAATAACTTTTCAGCAAAATAACTAAATAGAAATTTCTCAATTTATAAAAAAAATTATGTATGAACTATAAAATGCTTTCTAATAGAAATAAGCAAGGCCAAGGTCTTTACATAGTTGAAGAAGGCTACTTAGAGATGGAATGAAAGAGTCATCAGGTCATTAAAAAAAAAAAAAGTAAGCCTTGGACACCTAGAGAGATACTTCAGGAGCATATGTCCTGCAGGAAGCATGGAAAGAAGAAAGATTTGGGGATGGCCAGTGACATGTTTGGATAAAGGTAGACAGAACAGTGATGAGGAAAGGTGTCTGTAAAGATACAATGAAAGAGTCATTTGAGAAAATGAGTAGAGATGAGCTTAGAACAACTCTCAATGCTGCTTTGAGTCTGGACTTGATCCTGTCAGTGTGAGGGTGAACTATTGAAAGTTTTTGTTTCTAGTAGAATAATATGTGCAAAGCAGAGTTTTAGAGTGATTTATCATGTAGCAATATGTAAGGTGGGTTGAAGTCAGAAAATAATTGAATCAAGATTAACTCCAGGCAGTCCCCAGAGTACAGACGTTCAGCTACGTGTGATACATAGTTATGTACCAACCTTATAAAAATTGAGGGTACATACAATGGTTTGTAAGCATGGATGGTGATACTTCGTGACATGCATCAAAACATCTTTGTTATTATTGTATTACTATGGAGAAAAGATTGAAGTTGTCAAGGACTTCATTCTTCTTGGATCAACTATCAATACTCATGGAAGCAGCAGTCAAGAGATCAGACGATGTATTGCATTGGGCAAATCTGCTGCACAGGAACTTTATTTAAAGTGTTGAAGAGCAGAGGTCAGCTTGAGGACTAAGGTGCGCCTGACCCAAGCCATGGTATTTTCAATAACCTCATGTGGATGCAAAAGCTGGACAGTGAATAAGGAAGATCATAGAAGAATTGATGCCTTTGAGTTGTGGTGTTGAAGGAGAATACTAAAAGTGCCATGGACTGCCAAAAGAACCAATAGATTTGTTTTGGAAGAAGTGCAGCCAGAGTGCTCCTTGGAGGCCAAAATGGCTAAGCTTCGTGTCTCATACTTTGGACATATTGTCAGGAGGGAACAGTTGCTGGAGAAGGATGTCATGCTGGGTAAAATGGAGGGTCAGAGAAAAAGAGGGAGACCCCAATGAGATTGATCAACCAGGTGGCATCATTGATGGTGTCAAGTGTGGCAGCAGTAGTGAGGTTGGGCCAGGATCGGACATTGTTTCGTTCTTCTGTGCATGGGGTCGCTATGAGTCGGTTCCGACTCGATGGCACCTGACAACAACAACAACTGTGTTGAAGTTGTTTTAGTGTATCTATAAGTATTTCTTTAATTTTTTTAAATTTCAAATAAAGGTACTTTTAATTTCAAATAAAGTCAAATAGTATTGCTATTAGAATTCCCTGGGTTTATTCCAAACATGAGTTTAGACATGTCTCTGCGATCAGTAGAAGACAGCAGGTAAATAACACACTTGTCTTGTGAGGATGCTCTTCAAGTGTAGTCTTGACAGATTTTTTTGAAGGACACAGGACAATCATGGGGACTTATTAAGAAGTTTTGAGAAAACCAAAGATTGCATTGATGAGAAAAAGACCAGAGAAGTTGCACTGCAGTATTTTTCTTATCACAACGTTGCTGCACCTGGTCGTTCTTCGTGGGTAACAAGGATGATCCCACAAGAATTTCACTAGGAAACCTTAACCCATCTGCCTTCCAGCTCTGATTTTTCCCCTTCAGACTTCTTTTTGTTCTTCAAACTCAAAGAGCATTGGAAATGAACACAGTTTGAGTCCCTTGAGGATGCTAAAGCTGCTATTTAAGCATGGTATAAATCAAAGAACACAGAATTCTTCAGGGAAGAATTAGAGAGTTGGAAACACTGCCTTCAGAAGTGTAGAGATATAGATGGAAGATATGTTGAGAAGCAATAGTTTCACATTTTGATATTTTTTGTTGAGGTTTCTAGATTTTGTAACAATGCATTTTTACTCATCTTCATATATTATCTACTAAGACAAACATTTGACTGGCATTAAATCCAAACTATATAGTTGTTCCAGTTTACATATAAATTCAACTCAAAGATGGATTTAGGAATGGAACTCATTCATAATCTTAGGATTGGCTGTATTGATTGGCCCGGTCTTCAGATGATTTGCGCAAAACTCTGACTGTGATAAAAACTTAAAGGATGAATGCTACAGACACAATTCGTAGGGCTTGACAGCTGATAGAATTTTATGGTTAGGGAACCATGTTTAAATTGATTCAAGATTCCAAAAGGAATAACTAGAAAGGGTTGGAACCTTTACCAATAAGGGAAAGTCAGAAGAGGGAAGTAGAAGTTTGGCAGAAAAGATGAGTTTCATCTTGTCTTGACAGCATGCCAAAATGGTTTTCAGGTATGTGAGACTGTAACTCATTGACTCATGCATTCAGCAATATTTTATTGAATATCAATGTTGTATTAGTAGTGGCAGAAGATTGAGTTAGCAAGGGAATACTTGGTATCCTCAAGGAGCTAATAGGGTTATAAAAGCATGCTTAAGAGTTGTGTAAATAAATATGGCTGAAATAAAATGTTTTGGATTTAATTTGAAATAATATGAGTGGAGGTACAGATGAAACAAGATTAGCAAAAGTTTAATAGTTGTTGAATCTCGTGATAGATACATGGGTTTCATTTTTACTATCTCCCTAATTATATATATACACACACACAATTTTAATAGGAGTATGGCATAGAGCTAATCATGATATGAGATGTTTCAGAGGGCGATGAAATCAAATCTGAAGAGTATCCTGCAAGAGGTAGGAGAAAGAGAGGAAAGTATAGTGTTCAGGAACTTAAAAAAATAAAAACAAAATTGGGTAAACAGCAGTGTGAAGCACTCCAGAGATCAAAGAAGTTGCATATTTTTCATTTCTAATTTTTTTCATTTCATTTCTGGTTGGAAGTTCTTTGATGAGTGTTCAAAATTGGGTACCTCAGAAGCTTAAGACATTGTTTTGATCAAAACATTTAAAGAGATGTTTATTACCTGAGAATTACTGTGCAAGCTTTCTTTCCTAACATGTGATTATCTGTTCTATTTTTAGGAAACTAATGAGCAAAAACTTCACAAAATAGCCAATGAACTTTTGCTTACAGAAAGAGCTTATGTCAACCGGCTTGACCTATTAGATCAGGTAATATTTTTCCGTTGCAATAATTTTATTGTGTTTGGCATTGTAAATCATCTTAACTTAGTAGAACTTTTTAGAAATTGCAATAAGGGCCTACTTCCTTAAGGAAATCTTGAGCACTGTTAACTTCATCAGTATACTTATACAAAATAATTCACAAAGAGCAAAGAGTTCTTTGTGTACCAGTCACAAAATACCTTCTAATCTGTGTTCTTCAGTATTAAACACTAGTCTATTTCTTGACCTTTTACAGTAATCCTAGGGCCATATTGCCATTAGGAGTCCTGGTCTGGTATTGTAGTATAAGCACTGGGCTTCTAACCACCAGGTTGGCAGTTCAAACACATCAGCCACTCCTTAGAAACCCTACACAGGGTCTCTGTGAGTCAGAAGCAACTCAGTGGCACTTAACAACAGTATGTGTCATTAAAGAAGAGATTAATGATTCTAATATTAACATGAATACATCATTGATTCTTTGGTCTCCTTTACTATGAGTGACCTCAACTGATGCAATCATAGAACCAGAAGGTGAGGTCACTTATTCAATCTTATATGAAAGTTTTAATACAGTGCCTGGTGTAAAATGCCCAGTCAGTATTTGTTGAATGTTGTTGACTACATGAATCTACTTTCTCACAGTGTATGTTTCATCATGGTGGCGCCTCCACTATTGTGTTAAATATGCATTTAGGAGTTTTAAAAACAAAGGTATCATTAGAATAACTTAAAAACTAAGTAAATTTATTCCTTTTATCAGTGATTAGAAGAGAATGATTGATAGATTGCTAACACAGATTCCTCTTATTAGAAGAGAAAGTTGCCCAGTGTGCATGTTAGTTGTAAGAATAGTCCCTCTTGTGCTTGGGACATTGGAACTTCATGAAAGCAGATGGTCCTTCAATTATTTGTTGCTAGAGTGAACTACATCCCTGTTAGAGTATGACTCAAATAGTCATGTTTCAAAGATTCTCACATGTCGATGTGGAGTTTGTATCCTTGAAACAATTTTTCTTCTCATGTAATTTACAGACTGGAAACTTTCACATTTGTCCTTTATTGAGATGTGTTTAGTCTTTTTTTGGTTAGCTACTGTTGCTGATATTATAAGATTTGAGTCTTAATATTAGAGTATCCTATTTATTGGGGTGTCTAGGGACATAATTTTGTGAATGGGGTTTTTTTGGCCTCCCAAGAAAATGCAGTGGAAGTGAATTTAGAAAATTAGCAACCATCTGGACATTATGAAGTAACAAACCTCCTTCTGCTTACAGTTAACAGAATAGCAATTACAAGGTATAGTAGGCCTTTTGGAGTATAGCTTAGACTGCAACTTATTATTATTATGTTTAAGATACCTGTTACTATGTACAGGAGAAGATATATACAAGAGTGAGTTAAATTCAATAGTGAGTAACTGTTATCATGACTAATTGCAACTGTCACAACTGTAAAGGTAGAAGTTTTGTAACAAAAAATGGGGAAGTAGATAATCTTACAGTCCAGGAACAGAGGACCCTAGGACCATCAAGGGAGAAGAGCATGAGTGGAATGTGGGACCTTATCCAGAGAAGCAGCAACACCAGAGATGGAGGCAGAGATGAGGACATGGAGAGAGAGCAGCTGAGGACTCAGGACTCATGGAAAGAGAGGGACTGTGTGCTGGTGGGCAGGAGGCAGGCTTGCAGAATGTGCCATTTGGTTGTTTAAATGATTATATATTTCTGAGTGTTTTGTGTACATTCCCCACCCCACCCCCTAAAAAAGAAAGACAAACAAACAAATAAAAACTGAGGGAATAGAAAAAAAAAAAGAAGAGTGAGTTAAAATTTTTCTGCACTCTGATTGTAGAATTCATTTCAATCAATTTTCAGAAAAGACAAATATAAAATTTTTCAACATAATCTCCTTGCTTTTCAATGCACTTTGTCCATCTGTCAACAAGCTTTCATATTCCCTTATTAAAAAATATTTTAGGCTGAGTTTTGAGCCATGAATGCACTGCTGTCTTCACGTCTTCATCAGAGGTGAATCTTCATCCTTGAAGGACTGCTTTCAGGGTGAAAGTCTGATTGATGGAGCAAGATCAGGACTAGAGGGAGGATACTTTAACACCTCAAAATGAAGTTTTTGCAGCGTGTCAACAGTGTGGGCAGAGGTGTGAGGACGTGCATTGTCATACAAGATCACAATGCCCTTGGATAGCAGTCCTCTGCATTTAATCTAAAATTCAGGCTTCAGCTCTTCAGTGACGTTCTCACTGTAATGAGCACTCTTGATTGTTGAACTTTTTTCCTGATAGTGTCCCAGTTCTGGCCCTTGAGAATCCCAGAAATCTGTGAACATCAATTTTCTAGCTGATAGTTGTCTTTTGAAGTTTTTCTTGGTCAGTGATTGAGGATGTTTCCATTCTATACTCTGCCGTTTACTCTTAGGCTCGTAGTGATGAATCCATGTCTCGTCACCAGTAGTGACTTTTTTTTTAAAAGAAACTTTTGCCTTCCTTTTAGTATATGTTTAAAAAATTTTTTGCAGATGTCCTAAACACTTCTGTTTATGCTCTTCTGTGAGTTTGGTACTCAACTTACATAAACTTCTAAAACCCAAGTCTGTTGTAGATTATTTCAATGGCAGAGCCATGGCTGATTTGCAAATAAATTGCCACACAATTCACTGTCACTCATCAACTCAACAGAATCATTTCAAGTGCACATTCAATGTTGTTATCAGCTGTGTTTGTGGACAGGTGTTTTAATATAACTGGAGTGTAGATCATTTTTGGCTCAACCTCATATGTATGTATTTTTATGTGTGTATGTGAATTGAATCAAGGCTTACAGAGATCATCAGTTTTGCATTCAATAAAAAGATATGTTTTGGTGCCTCATATCAGCATTTTAAGTTACCATGCATTATTCTTTACAAAAAAGCAAGTAAACATCTGAAAACTGAAATACTATTTTGTTCGTTCATTGTCTAGGTATTTATTAAGCACCTACTCTGTTTTTGGGATTAAATCACAGTATCTCCCTCCTCAAGGAATTTATATATACTTAAAATTTGTCAATAAGCTACAATGAAAGACAACAGCAATTATTCATAGCACTAACAACAAAAAACAAAAAACAGTTGTCATCATGTTAATTCCTTCTCAGGGCAGCCCCATGTATATCAGAGTAAAACCTCCATCTGATTTTCAGTGACTGATTGTTTAGACATAGATCACTAGAACTTTCTTCCAAGGTACCTTTGGGTAGACTTGAACCACCAATGTTTAGGTTAACAGTTAAGCAGGTTAGCTGTTTGCACCACCCACAGATGCTTTCAAAGCACTAAAGAGAAGTGAAAAATACTACAATTACTGTGTCTATATAAAGTGTTTCCCCAGTCTTAACTTTGTGCTATGAATAAGAAGCCCAAATACTATACCTCAATTAAAACTTTTTTGCCACATACATATGCAAATAAAGTAAATCATTTGCCTTAGCATCATAGACAGGTCATAGCCTAGATTAGAATCAAGATCTTCTCATTCTTATTCTTACTTTTTCTAAATTAAAGCCTATATGCCTACATTTGAAATAATGATTGATTTCTTAAGCCATGACCTTTTCCATTTATTGAACACAAAATTACTTAGAACCCACTATGTGCCTAGCAGAGTGCTAGGTGGCTAAACTGTGAATTTGCCATAATGCTTGTTTTATTCTCTTATTCAGGTATTTTATAGCAAACTGTTGGAAGAAGCAAACCGAGGCTCATTTCCAGCAGAGATGGTGAATAAAATCTTTTCTAATATTTCATCAATAAATGCCTTCCATAGTAAATTCCTATTGCCAGAGCTGGAGAAACGAATGCAAGAATGGTAAGAGGAGTAGATAGTAAATGATATGTGTAAGGCAATCATAGAAGATGCTGTATTTCTCAGCTTTGAAACTGAACTAGAAAAGCTGTAGCTAGACATTCGTGCTAAATGATTACTAATGACTACTGATACATAATGTGCTACATTTTCAACTTTAGCTAACAAAGCCAAATATTACGACAAAAGATAAAAGTTATTTCTTCTCTTCAAATTATATTTTACTAGTAGAGGCAGGTTATCGGGAGTCATTTGCAAATTCAAGAATTCCATAGCATCTCTCTTTGTTATTCCTAATACCCTTAAAAAGATGTTTCTTCAGTCTCTCCCCGACTCCCAGTAAAGTGGGTCCTCATAAAGCACAGTGATTATTTCTCTGGAGTCCTGTAAATTCACTCATTCTTATAAGAAATCTTAATGACCCACCTGTTTCTGTATTCTATACAGGGAAACCACCCCTAGAATTGGTGACATCCTTCAGAAATTGGCGCCTTTCCTTAAGATGTATGGAGAATATGTGAAAGGATTTGATAATGCAATGGAATTAGTTAAAAACATGACAGAACGTATCCCCCAATTCAAATCAGTGGTTGAAGAAATTCAGGTAATGGTCAAGAATTTTTTTTTTTTTTCCATAAGGTCCTCTAGACCTAAAATTTACGTCTGGAAATCCCTGTGGAGTCCTGGTATGGCGCTGTGAGCTAATGCGCTGGACTGCAAAGTTGGTTTGAACCTTAAGGTTGGTGGTTCAAGTTCATCAGCTGCTTATCAGAAATCCCATTACAGGGTCACTGCAAGTGGAAACTGACTTGGCAGCCCTTAACAACAAGAAGATATTTCTGTGAGCTATCTCGCCAAATATCATTCTATTCTATTCTACTCTGAAATAGTGCAAAAAAATCTCTGCATAATTAAATAAATAGTTCAGTATATAATAAATGTGGTTGAACATGTGCCATATACTAAGCAATGGGTTCTCCATTTGCTCTGGAGAAACCAGAAGCGCTGGCTTTATCTGGGTCCACAAAGATTTACAAAATGAGTCCCCCATTCAGTTCTGTGCCTCCTCTGCTTACTTTCAGAAGCTGAAATGTCAGAATGCATATAGAGAATGATTGCTATAAACACTAAGACTTTAGAAACAGCATCATTCGGTTTCTCATTTATATCTATACTCTGATTTTCTTCTATTTCATCAAACCTACATATCACACTCTAATAGTCGTTATTTCCATTTGATTTTTCTAGTCAGCGTTATTAATATCCTATTCTTTGATGAAATTTAAATATTGAAAAGTAATTCTTTAGATGACATAAAATTCCTGAGACTAGGAGTAACAATGATACTTTCCCTTTTCTTTGAGTATTTTTCCCCAAGTGAACCTTTAGAATAGGCTAACTTAAATGTTCTGTTCTTCAATGTGTGACCCCCGTCCCACTTACCGTGAATATCTTCTACTTTACCTGAGAGTAATTCTCAACTTAGATCAACCTGAGACACTGATATTTATCTGCTGGTTTATATTTCTCCTATGAAATAAAGCTTATATTCCAATTAATTCCAAATAAGGAAAGAATAAAAGCTACAGTGAACAGTTTTGTGTTCTAGGCAATAAGTTCCTTGGGCACTGATCTAAACTTTCCTAGCCATTAATCCTTGAAGTAATTTTTATAAAATTATCTTTCTTTTAAAAAAGAAAACTGGAGGCATGTTAAAACATATTTCTTCATCCTTAATCCACTGCCTTCAAGTTGCTTGTGACTCATGGCAACCCCATAGGAGCAAGAAAAGCTGTTCCATCAGCTGTCCAAAGCTGTAGATCTATATAGACGCAGACTGCCATATCTCTCTCCCTCAGAAGATGGTGGGTGGGTTTTAACCACCAATCTTTTGGTTAGCAGCTCAAGAGCTTTCCCAAAACACCAGCCGGACTCCTGTCATTATCCTTACTTATTTAGGACTTCTGTCAAAATTATTAAAAGAAACCAGGTAGAAGTATTACTACTACACATGATACCAGTGAAGCACTACGTAAATGTGGGTCTCTATTGCTGACTGATCTTTCTGGTCACTGTGAATCTACAGATGTTCTTAAAACCTCATCCTCCCATTTCCTCATTATCTGTATCCTTTGGTATTTGACACTGATGTGCTTACTCTTCACACCTTCCTTCTGGGATCAGTTTGTTCTTTATTGTAGCTTATTAATGTAGACTATTGGATTATTATTTATTGAAATCTTTCAAAAAAGTGAGGTGGCACTGGACGAACTCACTCATCTATAAAAAGGAATTTGGAAGACAACTATTTGGCCGACTGATTGGAAGAGATCCGTATTTGTGCCCGTTCCAAAGAGAGGTGACCCAACAGGATGCGGAAATCATTGCATAATATCTTTGCTATCCCATGCGAGTAAAGTTTCACTAAAAGTAATACAGAAACGGCTGTAAGCATACATTGACAGAGAAATTCCTGAGGTTCAAGCCAGATTCAGAAGAGGATGTGGAACAAGGGATATCATTGCTGATGTCCGATGGATCTTGGCTGAAAGCAGAGAATACCAGAGAGATGTTTACCTGTGCTTTATTGACTACACAAAGGCTTTCGACTGTGTGGATCATGACAAGCTATGGACAACATTGTGAAGTATGAGTATTCTGGAACACTTAATTGTGTTCATGAGGATCTGTACATGGACCAAGAGGCAATTGTTCCAACAGAACGTGGGAACGTTGTCTGGTTTAAAATTAAGAAACGTGTGCGACAGGGTTTTATTCTTTCACCATACTTATCCAACTTGTATGCTGAGCAAATAATCCGAGAATCTGGGTTATATGAAGAAAAATGTGGCATCAGAATTGGAGGAAGATATACAGATGATACAACCATGCTTGCTGAAAGTGAAGAGGAATTAAAACATTACTGATGAAGATCAAAGAGCACAGCCTTCAGTATGGATTACATCTCAATGTCAAGAAAACAAAAATCCTCACCACTGGACCAATCAACAACATTCTTATCAACAGAGAAAAGATTGAAATTGTCAAGCACTTCATTCTTCTTGGATCAACTATCAACATTCATGGAAGCAGCCCTTAAGAAATCAAATGATATATTGCATTAGGCAAATCTGCTGAACAAGACCTTTTTCAAGTGTTGAAGAGCAAAGATGTCAGCTTGAGGACTAAGCTACGCCTGACCAAGCCATGGTATTTTCAATAACATCAAATGCATGCAAAAGCTGGACAGTGAATAAGGAAGACAGTAGAAGCATTGATGCTTTTGAGTTATGGTGTTGGAGGAGAATATTGAAAGTACCATGGGCTGCCAAAAGAATCAACAGATCTGTGTTTGAAGAAGTACAGCCAGAGTGTTCCTTGGAGGCCAGGATGGCCAAACTTCGTCTCTCATACTATGGACATCTTGTCAAGAGGGACCAGTCACTGGAGAAGGATATCATGTTTGGTAAGGTGAAGGGTCAGAGAAAAAGAGGAAGACCCCCAGCGAGATAGATTGGCAAAGTGGCAGCATCAATGGGCTCAAGCATGGCAACAATTGTGAGGTTGGCCCAGGAGCAGGCAGTGTTTCGTTCTATTGTACATAGGGTCACTATGGGTTGGTACCAACTCGATGGCACCTAACAACAACAAGACTTTTTAAATAAAAGCATTTAAAGCTATAAATTTCTCTCTAAACATTATTTTAGCTATATTCCATAAATTTATTTGCTTTCATTTCATTCAGTTCAAAATATTCTCTGATTTCCTTTGTGAATCTACTTTAACCCATGGATTATTTAGTTTTGTCCTGTTTAATTTTCACTTATTCTGAAGTTGTTGAGTGTTTTATCCATGTCACCTAGGTCAAGTTGATTGATAGTACTGTTCAAGTCTTCTAAAACCTTGATTAATTTCTCTCTAGTTGTTCTATCATTTATGGAAAGTGAGGGCTCTTGAATTTCCCAGATATCTTTGATTTGTCCATTTCTCTTTTCCATTTTTGTCCATGTTTTGTAAAGATCTATTTTTAGACTCTGTTAAGTGTATGTATATGCATTTCTAATTATAAAGTCTCCCTATTTACCTTCTTGGTTTCTCGTAGTATGTTAAGTATATTTTGTCTAATCTTGTTATTGCTAATTTTTATTTACATAGTTTTTATCCCTTTACTTACTACCTATTAGTATTTCTTAATCTAAGGCCTATTGTTTGTAACCATCATGAAGATGCATCCTGCCCCTTTAGCCACATGTTAGTATTCTTGATGACATCCCACAAGTTTCTGCTTTAAAATTGATGTCTGCTAAATCTGACATCTGAGAACACTGAGAGATTATGTCTGGTCACTTCTTTTTTCTTCAGTATATCTCATACTTACCTATCTCTTTACATGTCTCATGGTATTTTTCTGACTATTGGACATTTTAAATAATGTGTTGTAACAATTAGACCTATAGATCCTCATTTATACCTTCCCCCAAAAATTGGGTGTTTTTACTTTTTTTCTTTGTTTAGCAAGTTGCTTAGACTAAAACTTTTAAACGGGTCTTACCAGTGGTATGTAGTTAGTAATGTTTCTGCTCAGCATTTTTGTTCAAAATTCTTGTTTTTTGTTTTCAAACTTGACTTTCTAAGAATTATCCTTATAGCTGTCTAGGTTAGTGGTCAACCACTTATTAGAGGCTGTGGTTAACTATCTAGAGCCAGTAAGATTTCTAGCCTTACTGGCTAGCCTTATGGGCCTGTCTGTGGGCAGGGGAGCACATTTAAAGCTCCGGCCATTTTCAGGACTTTTTCACATTTCCTAACTGCAGGTACATGGCCTCGGGATCTGCCGGGAGCTCTGCTGGTTTGGTTCTGTCCATTGTCTACCATGAATTCACATCGCTTTAGCAAGAATGTGATTACTCCACCCACAACCTCAGACCTGCTCTTTCTACTAGCCCGCTTCAGAGATCATTACTTTCACTGGTCATGTTGCTGGTCATGGAGATCTCCCACCACACCAAATGGAATGATCCCTCTTCAACCTTAGCAGAAAAGTTGCCAGTCTCAGCATTACCCCTCCCACAGTGGAGGAGAAATGGAGTAGTCCAGACTCTAATACCTTACATTCTCACTGTTTTTACTGAAGTTCAGAAATTTTCAAAATGTCAACTTTTCAGATTTTGGTAGGCCTTTGATCAATTTTCTACATGCTGAAATGGACTTGTGAGTAGGGCACAGACAGATCCAACAATTCTGTCCAGCTTTATGCTTGTTTTTGCAGGAAGGATTTGCCATTCTTCCCACTCAGCCATAGACAGAAGTCTTGTTTCTTTCCCTTCACTCCTTTCTGGAAAATCTCTTTTCTCCTACAATTAAGCACTAATCTACCTTGCTGAACCTTAACTCCTTCTCTGGTCCTTTCACCTGTTCCTTCTTGTAACTGAAATATGGACTAAACATACAGTTTGTCCTCCACAGGTTTCTTCCTCTTCACATCCTCAGTGATACCACATTCCCCTGTGTCTTTAATCCTTATGTATATAGATGTCTGCAAGATCTCCAGTCACAAACCGCTAAATGCTGAGCACACAATTCTCTATGGAGACCTTTCAAAACAAAGTCATCATGTTCCATTTATATCTTTAGCTTCCAAACATTTCTTTCTTCTTATTGACTTATTGTATGCCTTGCACAGAGTAGATAATGTCTTGACATGTAGCTAAGTGTATTAGAAGGCATGATTATTCTCTAATTCAATGATAAAGTCACGAGTTTTACAACTTGACTTTATCACTGATTTGTCACTTTTCCTCATTCTCTGTATGCTTTAATTTGCCTGTTAAGTAATGTATTCACAGTGCTTAGTCTAAAGCCTATTACAGATTAACTAATCACTAAATAAATGTGGTGCTAGTGGTTTCTTCAAATCTCAAAATTCTATCTCTGCAACATACGTCATGTTCACATTGTGAGGAAATGATAAAGAGTTGTGAAAAGAGTAGTAGATTGTGCATCAAATAACCTAGTTTGGAAATAACGCAGTCTGCCACTTATAGCCAGCCACTAGATTTTAGAAAGCTCCCTAAATTCTCTTAGCCACAGTTTCTTCACATAAAAATTGTGAGATTAATAATATTTTACTGGATATGTATGTATAGATAACAGGTTCATTGTGGAAAATCAAGTAAAATAACTTTTAAAACTTATAAATTAGTATTTTATACTTTCTATGCTGTGAACCACAAGGTCAGCAAGTCAAACCTACCAGCTGCTCCATAGTAACCCTACACAGGTCGCTATGTGTCAAAACTGACTCTACGGCACTTCACAGCAATTATATACCAAAAACAAAACAAAAAACTCACTACCATGGAGTTCATCCTGACTTATAGCAACCCTGTGTAGGGTTTCTGAGACTATAATTCTATATAGGAGCAGACAGGCTCATTTTTCTCCCTCAGAGCAGATCATGTGTTTGAACCAGCAACCTTACTTATCCTATAGTACTTCCAGGGCTCCTTTACACTTTATATGAAACCTGTTACTCCCTCCTGCTGTGGTGCTGTAGGATAAGCACTCAACCACAAGGTTAGTGGTTCAAACTCACCAGCTGCTCTTTGGAAGCCCGATACAGGGTCACTATAAGTCGGAACCAACTCAATGACATTTAACAACAGCAAATTATTCCCTCAGCGTCTATGTCGGTTTCAGGTCTTTATTAATTTTGTTTTGGTCTACAGTAGTAAGTTCTAGTTTCCCTGCACCCCTAAAGTCACACTGGAGCAATGGTAATCTGAATACAGGTCAGCTATGATGTTCTATTAAGTAATATCAGTAATGATAATACTCCCCTGTGCAAAAACCTGGATGAAGCAAATCTAAACTCACCATAGCTCTCAAGGGCCTTGGCATTATCATCCCACGTTACCTGTTCTCTATTCCCTCTTCTTCTTTGTCAACAAAACTCAACCTTTCCCTTGTTATAGAACATGTTTCATGCCCTGCTGTCTTGTGCTTGTGTTCTCTCAACCTCTTCCTGTGGAATTGCCCCTGGTCTTTCTCACTTTCTCACCCACTTCAGCCTGCACCCAGGAATTGCTGTTGTTGTTCTGTGCCATCAAGTCAGTTCTGATTCATAGGGTTACCAAAGAAACTTATGGGTTTCGACTGCCGACCTTGTGGTTCGAAATCCAGTGCTTATCCTACAGTGCCAAACCAGAGTCCACACCAAGCAGAAGGAATGTTAAATGTTTCCATGTCTGTGAAGCCTTTAGTTACTTTTTTGCTTTGAATGCAAATGCCGCATTTCCTATAACCTTTATACCCTGCAGTGCCTTTATCATGGTATGAGCTCAGTAGATATTTAATGGGGTTTCGCCTTTGTTTAATATGAACAAGAACATAGCTTATTTTTTCAAATAATCTTTTCTCTTTCTGATATTAGCAGCTTATTGAAAGCAAGTGCTATAGATTCAGTATTGCGCAAAGAAAAGATCTATTTACAGAGTTTGCTTTCTAATGAAAATAATGCTTTGACCTAATGAAATAGTAAAACATTTCTAATGGATAATTAGATGCCCAGATTTTGTCATTCTCTGTGTGGAGTCTTATTTAAGATCAAAGGAAATACTATTTATAGTAACCTTATTATTAAACAGTTACTGCTCAGACCAAAGTCATGTTCCATAGTTCTGCTTAGTGAATCTCATTAGGAGTGAGTTCTTTTTGAAAGGAGCTAGTATCTGATTGAACAGTGTGACATCACAAACCTGCGTAGTGACTAATGGAAGTGGTTGCCAGCAATATGGAATTTTCTTGCTTGTAATTCTGCTAGGTTTTCTTTTCTGTTCTAACATCAGACTGCTGGTGGCTGTGTGCCGTGGAGTCGGTTCTGACTCACAGTGACCCTGCACAGGGTTTCCGAGGCTGTAAATCTTTGCGAGAGCAGAAAGCCTCATCTTTCTCCATGAAACAGCTGGTAGTTTTGAACTGCTGACCCTGAGGTTCGCAGCCTGATTCATAACCACTACACTACATGAGACTAGTGGTCCTCAAAGTTGCATGTAATAAGAACCTGGGGTGTTGTTGGATACACATTCTTTAATCTCATCTCTAAAGATTGTGATTCACTAGATTAGAGGTGGGGTTCAGAAATCTGTACTTTTAACACGATACAGCTGGTATCTACTGCAAATGATCCATAGGCCACATTTTACAGAAAAATAGTCTTTGATGAAAGTTCTTCATTACAGTGAGTGTTTAGACTGCCTAACTTAATATTTTAATGTGTCTATAAAATCCTCTTCTTACTGCAGAAACAGAAGATCTGTGGGAGTTTGACTTTGCAGCATCATATGCTAGAACCTGTTCAGCGGATACCCCGGTATGAGCTTCTCCTTAAGGATTACCTAAGACAGTTGCCACCTGACTCTCTGGACTGGAATGATGCTAAAAGTAAATGTTTTTTTCTTTTCTCCCACCCGCCTCTTATAGGACCAAGCAGCCTATTAGTTCCAATGTGAAATATGACTCAGAGCCACTTTAGTAAGATAATCCTGATGAAAGATAGTATCACTGGAAATTGGTATCAATACCTCAGTTAGGACAGTCATTTTTTGTGCCCAAATCACAAAATTCAAGGCACTGAAGACCATGTTTCTCATGCTGGTTTCACATTAATAGTTCATTTGGAATACAAAACTATAGTCTTACAGACATTTGGAATAGCAGTACACAATTAACCTTCTCAGAGGAAGAATACAGCCATTCAGAATTACTGGTGCTGCTGGGTTAATTAGATAGGTTGATGAATAATAAGACAGCAAAGTTGAGATTTACTATGTAAAAATAACCTAAGTGAAATTGACTCTACCCACCGCACCACTACACCCAGAAGGCAGAAGTGGGAAATGGTGCTTTTAGTGTCTGATAACATTTTCCCTGAGAAAACTTTATTCCCATTCTGTGAATTGTCCTTGTTTTTTGTTTTCTCTCTTGAGATTTCAGTGAAAATGCTTTTTTAAAGCTCAAGAGTTTCAATAATACAAGAGTAAATAAAAAAGTATTCCAATCCTAAAAAAAAAAGTGCTTAAAGATGCCTCTGTAGTCAAATGATGGGTGCAGAAAATTTCTTTCAGTAATACACTTGTTCTAGTCTCATTAGCGTGCTTTTAATAAAATTAATAAAAAGATCTAATCAAAACAGTGACTTCCAAGGGGATCTGTTGGCCAATTAAGGTCAAGATAAACAGATCAGCTTAAAATATTATGACAGTTACTATAAGAACAAGCAAATTGCTCGCCCAGGAGACATCAAGACAAGTGGTCAGGTCCCCACAGGGCAAACCCCTTTCTACGACTAAGACTCAATGGGAATACATGCTGTGATTGGTGACCACATTTGTCACTGATAAAGGGAAGTGAGGGAAAACAGCAATGAAGCTGTGAGCTAAGCCCTACAATGTTCAATAGACTCCTGTGAACCTGGGTGAAGACCTAGTTGGACAGCAAGACCTAGGGACTCTTGGGCCCAGAGTCAGTGACATAGCCACAGAGGATTAGAGTGGAGAGTGAAGCATCCTGATAGGAAGAGAGGGCATATGCACAAGAACACCCAAACTTGCAGATAATAATAACCACTTGACCTGGCTTCTATGACTGGATGATTAGAGCTCAACTTGAAAAAGAAAGAAGAGGAAAAAAACAAGTAATCTGATACAATTTGATGAACTTGCCCTACACCTATGGATGCAGTAGCTCAAAAGAGGGAACAAATCTTTACAGCGGGAATCATTCCCACCCCCTCCATACACAGAGTAGACAGGGATGGGCAACTTGGATATTAGCTACCCAAAATGGGGTGGGGGGAGGGCTACAAAGGCAAGAAGTGACTGGCTTACAAGCATTCAAGAGGGAACCTAGATCCACAGGGTGGGGAGGATAGTGAAGTCTCCAGTGAATGGTACTCAACCTGTCTGGGAAGGGCTGATGAAAAGAAATGCAGATGGGTCTCATGTGATGCAATAGTGAAAATTGTTACCAGGACTGATTGTGAGGACTGGAAATGTAAAGGTGGATATTTTATAGCAAGGAGGGATGTGACTAACCTTTCAGTCTAAAACTAATGTTCCCCCATGTAAACTATCACTCAATACACAATAAAACATTCAAAAAAAAAAAAAAAGGTAATGGAATTTTTCCATGAACTTTTAAAATCCCCTCATATATACACTTCACAAACACCCATATAAACAAGGTGTATTCTATGTAGCACTGGAGCAAAGAAAACAGAAAATTTGGTACAGAAGTGATGGTGGGTGTTATGGGTGTTTTAGTCACAAGACTAAAAACAGAAAGGCAAAGAACAAATCATGATTTGGGATCAAGAGGTATATTCCCTGAGGTTGAGTCATCAGAAGGCCTCAGCTTCCACAGCTCTTCACCAGCAGTCCCTGAAACTTCTGTCCTCCCGTTCCCATCTCTCACCACCATAGGCCCCAACAACAAGATCCGCCATCAACATTGGCACCAGACAACTTCCTTTCACCTGACTGAAGCTAGAACTGTTAGGGCATTTTCCCAGAGAAAACTGGTGGTTAGTTTGCTCATAAAACTAGTAGTATCTACTTCTAAAATGTTGTAGAACTTTGAGTTGTCCCTAATATCCTAGATTCAAATCTCAGTCCAACAATATTGTATTTGTGTGACATTAAACAAGTTACAGCTTCTCTCCATTTTCTTCATCTGTCAAATGGCGCTAATATACTTGCCATTGTATAATTGATATGGAGTCCTGATGTGGTGCTGTAGGATAAGCAATGGACCACAAGGTTGGTTTGAACTGCAAGGTCAGTAGTTCAAATCCACCTGCCACTCCTTGGAAACCTTATACAGGGTCACTATGAGGCAGAACCGACTCAACGGCACTAATCAACAAAAGTCACAGTTGATATTATATATATGAAAATAACTAGTAAAATGCCTAGTATGCATAGTCAAAATGTATTGATTTTGAAGGTATGTTATGGGTTAAACATACCTATAATGCTAATTATTGTATATGGCTTTTTATGAGGAAATTTACTTCCAGTTGTAAAAAAAATCTACTGAAAATATCTAGTTTATAAATGTTACACCCTTGCATATAAATGTCTTTTGTTTTTGGTCTCATATTTCTTCTTTTAGTGTATATGTTATTTAGCTATTTAGTAGTATACTAGGGACAAAGCATATTTATTTACTTTTCTTTTTTCCCCATTTAGAATCACTTGAAATAATATCCACGGCAGCAAGCCATTCTAACAGTGCAATAAGAAAAATGGTAAGTGGTTTTTCAGAGGAGACAGGAACCTTTTGGCTAGATAATTGTCAGTAATATAGACTCATATTTTCTATAGATTTAGACCAAAATAAGTTGACTTAGATAAACAAAAAAGAAAAATTATGAAATATTTAGTATTATCTGGAATAATCCTCTCGTCTCTTCTCCAAGGTTTTATTTTGCTCATATCTGATGCAGTTTATACCAATATACTTGTTTATCCTCAAGCCCTTTTGAATTATCCATACTTTAGATAAGGCTACAATACTGGTAAACCTATCCAGCTGAAACTTTGTAATATTTGATTTTATGTCCTATTTTAATTTCCTAGGAGAATCTAAAGAAACTCATAGAGATATATGAAATGTTGGGAGAAGAGGAAGACATTGTAAATCCTTCAAATGAACTAATAAAAGAAGGTCAGATCCTCAAACTAGCTGCTCGGAACACATCAGCACAAGAACGTTACCTTTTCTTAGTGAGTATCTTAGTCTGAGCAAGTCCCATGAGAGTAAATCATATATGTTGTTATAAGTATCATTGAAAAGAAGGATGCTTGTTTGCTCAACAAAGCAATAACATGTAACCTGGTTTAATCAATAATGTCAGTATTTCACATAAGGGGATGTTCTAAGTCAGTGGTGGGGAACATCTGGCCTATGGGCTATATAAGATCTGGCTCTACCAAAGCAACCATCAACCATCACGTTGTTGTTAAGTGCCATCGAGTGGGTTCCAATTTAGCGACCCTGTATAAGGTTTCCAAGAAACAGCTGGTGGATTTGAACCACCGATTTTGTGGTTTGCAATTCATTGCTGATCCACAGTGCCACATCAGAAGCATAGCCATCACACTGTTGTTGTTGTGTGCTGTTGAGTCCGTTCTGACTCATAGCGACCTTGAACAGGGTTTTGAGGATCCGCTGGTGAGTTTGAACACCAATCTTGTAGTTCAAACTGACCTTGAGGTTGAGCTCTTATCCTATGGCACCACACCCAAATATTGTTGTTGTTGTCAGGTGCCATCGAGTCAGAACCAACTCATAGTGACCCCATGCACAGCAGAACGAAACAATGTCCAATTCTGGGCCAACCTCACTACCGCTGCCACACTTGAGTCCATCAATGATGCCACCTGGCCAATCCATCTCGTTAGGGGTCTTCCTTTTTTTCTCAGACCCTCCACCTTACCCAGCATGACATCCTTCTCCAGCGACTGTTTCCTCTGGACAATATGTCCAAAGTATGAGAGACGAAGCTTAGCCATCCTGGCCTCCAAGGAGCACTCTGGCTGCACTTCTTACAAAACAGATCTATTGGTTCTTTTGGCAGTCCATGGCACTTTCAGTATTCTCCTCCAACACCACAACTCAAAGGCATCAATTCTTCTACGATCTTCCTTATTCACTGTCCAGCTTTCGCATCCATATGAGGTTATTGAAAATACCGTGGCTTGGGTCAGGCGCACCTTAGTCCTCAAGTTGACATCTCTGCTCTTCAATACTTTAAAAAGTTCCTGTGCAGCAGATTTGCCCAATGCAATACGTCGTCTGATCTCTTGACTGCTGCTTCCGCGAGTGTTGATAGTTGACCCAAGTTGTCCTTGACAACTTCAATCTTTTCTCCATTGATGAGAATGTTGTTTATTGGTCCAGTGGTGAGGATTTTTGTTTTCTTGACATTGAGATGTAATCCATATCGAAGGCTGTGCTCTTTGATCTTTAACACCCAAATATAGCAGGCTAATTTTTTTAAGTTGATACTCGTGTATGGCCTGTGAAAGCTGTTATGAATTTTGGCAGAAAAAGGTTCCCCACTCCTGTTGTAATTAAAGGAAAATTGTTCTTAAGAATTAACTCTTTTTAAGTACTTTTGTGTCATTTTTCTGTACAACTTACTTGTATAATTTATTTTACTCTATATACTGAAGACAATCTAACCTTTCCATGATGATTGTCGCTATCACTGTGTTTGTGGGTGTGATATGCTTTCTGAAATCTTCCTTTTGCTTGTTTTAGATACTCTCTTTTCTTTTGTTTTAGATTACAGACTAATGTGTACCATTTTCTGGACAATCTGTCTACATCCTCTTTCCTGACAGCAGTTCTCTTCACTGTTGCTGTTGTTGAGTACCATCAAGTCAATTTTCAACTTATAACAATATCATGTGACCAAATAGAACTGCCCCAAAGGTTTTACTAGGCTATAATCTTTATAGGAAGGAGCTCTGGTAGCATAGTGGTTATGAATCGGGCTGCAAACCTCAAGGGCAGCAGTTCGAAACTACCCACTGTTCTGTGGAAGAAAGATGAGGTGTTCTGCTTCCGTAAAGATTTACAGCCTCAGAAACCCTGTACAGGGACGCTGTGAGTCGGAATCGACTCCATGGCACATAACCACCACCACCACCAATCTTTATACAAACAGAGCACCAGATCTTAGTCAGGCAGAGCCACTGGGGCTCTGAACTACCAGACTTTCAGTTAATAGCCAAGCACTGAACCATCATAACACCAGGACTCCTTGTTTCCTAACCCTATCTAAATGCTACTTCTCATCTCATCTTTCTGGGTTAAAGAAATGGCAAGACTGAAACATTTGTGCCTAAAATATCTCAGGAAAAAGTACATGAACTCACTACATAGAGCTTTTGAATGTGCCCTGCTCTCTGCAGGCTGTCCCGTCTTCCTTTCACTTTCTTGAATTTACAATTAATCTGGGGTTATCGCATGTATAAGAGCTCTTGCTGGGGCATCAGGCATTATTAAGTCTCTGTTCACATGGCTTTTTATTATTTGTTATCCTAACAAATTCCAGTTTGTTTCTATATCTAATGAGATCATGATAATCCTAAGAGCTCAGTAAATGTTAGTCATTATTATAATTGTTGGAGTCATGGTATGGTGCCATAAGAAAAGCATTAGACTCCTAACTGCAAGGTCGATGGTTCAAACCTACCAGCTGCCCTTGGAAACCCTATCTATACAGGGTCACTATGAGTTGGAACCAACTTGACAGTACTTACCAACAAGCAACAATTGTAATTGTTGTTATAGGAAAAGAAAAAGGCGTATTGGGAAAGAAACTGCCCAGTGACTGGTACACAACTCACGGGCTGTTAGTCACATCTGATTTTTCTGCTGCTAAAGTCATCTTACTAGTTGTGAAATGAGTTGTTGGAAACCTCAATGTTTCTGTTGTCTGGGTCTAGCCATTCTTGAAAGAAAAATTTATAGGAACTAATTGTCATAGAGAGAAAAAGATTTTTGTTTGGTGATGGTGGTGGTCATTGTTGTTCTTTTTAAGAACATTTGATTATCAGATGAGCAAGCAATTCTACTTTTAGATTACATAACTCAAAAGAATAGACAACACATGTTTACACAGAAACTTGAATCTTCATAGCAACATTATTCATAATAGCCCCAAGTTGGAAATAGCCTAAATGACCATCAGCTGATTAATAGATAATCAAAATGTAGCTTATCTATTCAATGGAATATTATATAACAATAAAAAGGAATAAAGTACTGATTTATGCTACAGCATGGATGCAGAGATGAACCTTGAAAATGTTATACTATGTGACAGAAGCCAGTCACAAAAGACTACATAGTGAATGATTCCATCTATGTAGAATGTCCAGAATAGGCAAATGCACAGAGACATGTAGATCAGTAGATGCCGTGGCTTGGTGTGAAGGGGATAGTGAGTATGTGGGTTTCTTTTGGGCCTGAAAAAAATGTTCTGGAATTAAATACTGGTAAAGATTTTTCAACTTATGACTGCATTAAAAACTGTGAATTGTACAGTTTAAAAAGGAGTCCTGGTAGCACAGTAGTTACACAACTGTTATCCGATAGGTTGGCAGTTCAAACCCACCAGCCACTCTAAGGAAGAACGAAAGATGTAACAGTCTTCTTTTTATAAATATTACCTTGTTGGAAACATTACAGGGTAGTGTACTCTGTCCTATTGTTGTTGTTGTTGTTAAGTGCCATTGAGTCGGTTCTGACCCATAGCAACCCTGTGTAGGGTTTCCAAGGAGCAGCTGGTAAGCTTGAACTACCGACCTTGCAGTTCAAATGGCTTTGCAGTCTGGCGCATTAACCCACAGCGCCACACCAGGACTCCGTCCTATAGGATCTCTATAAATCAGAATCAGCACAAGGTCTTTAAGTGTAGAAATCCTCATTTGAGCTAAATAGAATTATTTCACCTTTCACAGGTAGTACAGAGAGCTCAATATAAACCATGGACTTTTTATATCCAACCATGGTAGGGTTCTGAGCTCTGTTCTATTCTGAACAAAATCCCTGAGAGTCATGTCTTCTTTAAATACCCTATCTTTAGATACTTGGTACACTTTCCTTTCCCTTCTTCCTCATTAGTGTGGTAGCTTGGTGTTTAACCAGTTGTCTTGGCTTATTTTTCACATAAAATAATTATTCTGGAAATCATTTTAGATTGAATAGCTTGATAGAGCCAAATTAAGCAGCAGTTTGCAAGACAAATGTCAAAGAGCCTTAGGGGAATACAGTAATAATGACTTGGAAGAAAGTGCTCATCTTGTTCCAGTTATTATCAATCAAACAGATGGTGCCAGTGTGTCTCCCGTGAGAATGAAGACACGTGACTAGCATTTTAGGAAAGCCACAATCATCTTTAAAAACTATTTTAGAAGCATTTCCTGTCTTGTCCATTCTTTTTAATCTGTCTCTTTGGTATATACTTTTCAAAGAGTCTCTTCTCTCCACTGCACACTTTTATTCCCATGAAACTTCTTGTTTCTTTTATATGTAGAAACTTCAGAAGTGCCATTTTTTATTTTCCTAGCTCTCTAGGAGGAAAATGGGGGTGAGTTTTCTATTTTCTACTCTGGGAATATGACATGTGTCAGAAAGGCAAAATTATATTTAGAATCTGACCAGCTTTCATATGATCTTCATGTAGTTACATCTCTGTTTGCCTGTGCTTTCCACTGTTTTTTTTTGTATGTGTGTATTAATGTTGTTTAACTAACAAATAAAATCACCAAATTATTTCATGAACGTGACACAAGAGTGTTTATAATTGATCTTTTGCTGATGTTCTGTTCCTTATTTCCCTGTCACTTGATTTTTTTTTTTTTTTTCTTGACTTACTTAAGCTTTGAGCACAGATAAGGTACTGGAAATTATCTCCAACAATATACTATTATCTTCCAAAACAAAATTTAATGACATTGTCACTGATGAAAACATGACATTGAATTATTTAACCAATAAGTCTTTAGTAAAAGGTTTGAAATAAATCATTGAGGAACACTAGAGGTTAAGGAAGAGGACTGTCCTTAGGTGTGTTTTTTTTGTTGTTATATTCTGTTTTATATAAAGTTGAGGCTTGCTTTTCTTGCTTTTGTCACAATTTGGGACTTCTGGAAATTTGCTCACCAAACAGAGATTGCTTTGTTAATTAGCTACTTCTGAGCTTTAGGCGTGGAATAAGAGAAAAACAGCTACACTGAATTGAAAAGTAGATCTAATTCATCCTACAGTTGCTATATTTCATCTTTCAGTATCAGTGGAAACCCCAAGAGTAATTTTCTATGTGGAAGATAATATGGCTTTTGCTACAGGAGCTAAGTTCATGGAGGGCACAAACCTAGCTACCTAATATATCCTTCATATATCTGGTACCTATTTCTTTGTAAGCAACATTTTGTATCTGCACAGCCCCTCTAGGAAAAATAAAAAGGATAGGGGAAAAAAAGCACTAGCTTCAAATTGTGACAAGTTACATGAGTCAGAACCAACTAGAAGGCACTTAACAACAAAAATTGACCATTTAGAATGCATTGTCCCACCTAGGAAGAAAATAATGAGGGAATGTAGTTTTGAGAATATGTAAAGGAAAGAGAAACCTATGTATTTACAAGACTTTCTGTCATCTTGTATAAACAGAACTACAAAAAGCAAATGCTAAGGACCTCCATGTTCATGGACTTGTGTTTCAATGAAATAACAAGACTTGGCTGAACTTTATAAATTGGATTTGAATACAAGTATTGGATAATTCAGAATTTCATACCATGACATTACATAAATCACTTAATTTTCAGAGGCAATGAGCCAGCCTGGTTATTATTGATGCTTTGAGAGTGTAAGTGCTGTCCTGCAGCAGTCCCAGGTTTGCCCAAATCTCCCCTGAGACGGCCTTCATAGAAAAGAGAAAGAAATGGTAGCAGGAAAGCTTAGTAAGGAAGCTGTAGCTTTAATCAAGTGATGAGAACCTTCCAGAGCTCTTGCAGATCTCTAAGTCCTATACACTACGATGAGGCTGTGACTGCCACTCTCAAAATACAGTGGATGGTTATTATAAATCCTAAATTTTAATGCTAATACATCCTCTTCCACTCTTCGAGAAATGCACATGTGAAGTGTATTTAGTGTCTTGTTAGTTCTGTTTTATCCAACCTGGAACTGAAATTTCTGACACTGGTTACAGAAAGCCACAAAATGGCAGACAAAAAACAAAAAACAAAAAAAAACAGCTAGTGAGAAATTTGCTTTCAGAATGAGCATAAGTGGACAATGTGACATAAACCTGTTGGAATATTTTTAAAATCCTTTGATACTTCATGGTAGTGTGGGCCAGAACTGAGGGCTTGGCAGGACACATCTGGACTCAAATCCCACAGAAAGTGAGATGAATTTGCTAAATTTAAGCAGCTGATATGGTGTGGCTCTGCGGGTTAATGCATCAGACTGCAAAGCCGTTTGAACTACAAGGTCGGCGATTCAAGCTCACAAGCTGCTCCTCAGAAACCCTATATACAGAGTCACTATGGGTTGGAATCAACTTGACGGCACTTAACAACAACAACATGTGCAAAGCACTGTTCTAAATACTTCACATTTGTTTATTCGTTTAATTCTCTCAACAACCTGTAACTCTTACACATAATGATCCTGAGGTATGAGAGGTGACAAAACTTATAAGAACAAAAGTGGGGGTTCCCTAATGCTTATGATGTGGCCTCTGAGTCATCCTGCTAAATAGTACTTTGCTGATCTTGGTCATGTGTCATTTTATACTAGTGTGGCACAGTAAGATAAGCACTGGACTGTTTATTGCAAGGCCAGTGGTTCAATTCCACTAGTCACTCCTTAGAAACTTTATACAGGGTTGCTATGAGTCAGAACTGACTCGATGGCACTTAACAACAACAACAAAATTGTGCTAAACCCACATATTACTAGGAAATGTGAACTAATAATTTGGCAGTACTTTTTTTTTTTTTTCCAACATTCACTTTGGTAAAACCTAATTGCTGAATAGTATTCTTTTCCTCTAACAGCTATTTTATACTTTTCCCGTAAGATACACAATTACAAATTCTGATGTGTAAGGGTTTAAACTTACAAAATTGAAATTCTGTTACTAGTATGTAAAAAAAAAAAAAAAAAAACCCACTGCCATCTACTCTATTCCAATTCATACCAACCCTACAGGACAGAGAAAAACTTCTCCATAAGACTTGCGAGACTGAAAATCTTTATGGATACAAACTCCCATGATGTAGCTAGTGGGTTTGAACCACTGACCTTGTGGTTAACCGTGTGACAGCTAACCCACAGTACCACCAGGTCTCCTTTACTGGTATATTTATTGTTGTTGTTAGGTGCCATCTAGTCGGTACTGACTCATAGCAACCCTATGTACAACAGAACAAAACACTGCCTGCCCCTGGGCCAACCTCACAATTGTTGCGTGCTGCCACTTGGCCAGTCCATCTTGCTGAGGGTCTTCCTCTTTCTCTGACCCTCCACCTTACCCAACATGATATCCTTCTCCAGCGACTGGTCACTCGTGACAGTATGTCTGAAGTATGAGAGATGAAGTTTGGCCATCCTAGCCTCCAAGGAGCACTCTGGCTGCACTTCTTCCAACACAGATCTGTTGGTTCTGTGTGCAGCCCATGGCACTTTCAATAATCTCCTCCAACACCATAACTCAAAAGCATCAATTCTTCTACGGTCTTCCTTATTCACTGTCCAGCTTTTGTATGCATATGAGGTTATTGAAAATACCATGGCTTGGGTCAGGCGCACCTTAGTCCTCAAGCTGACATCTTTGCTCTTCAACACTTGAAAAAGGACTTGTGCAGCAGATTTGCCTAATGCAATACTTCATTTGACTTCTTGACTGCCACTTCCATGTGTGTTGATAGTTGATCCAAGAAGAATGAAGTCCTTGACAACTTCAATCTTTTCTCCATTGACAAGAATGTTGCTTATTGGTCCAGTGAGGTTTTTGTCTTCTTTCTATTAAGATGTAATCCATACCAAAGGCTGTGCTCTTTGATCTTCATCAGTAAATATTTTAAGTCCTCTTCACTTTCAACAAGCAAGGTTGTATCATCTGCATATCGCAGGTTGTTAATGACTCTTCCTCCAATCCTGATGCCACATTTTTCTTCATGTAAACCAGATTCTCGGATTATTTGCTCAGCATACAGGTTGAATAAGTATGGTGAAAGAATACAACCTTGTCGCACACCTTTCTTAATTTTAAATGGAAACTGCTCAAACAGAGTTCTGTTTGAACAACTGCTTCTTGGTCCAGGAACAGATTCCTCATTAGCACAATTAAGAGTTCTGGAATACTCATATTCGCAATGTTGTACATTGTTGTTGTTAAGTGCCGTCGAGTTGATTCCAACCCATAGCGACCCTGTATAGGGTTTCCGAGGAGCAGCTGGTGAGCTTGAATCGCTGACCTTGCAGTTCAAACATCTTTGCAGTCTGATGCATTAACCTGCAGCACCACACCAGGACTCCAATGTTGTATATAGAAGGCCCTTTATAAATTTTTGCTGGATTTAATTGAACTAGTTTTCTTAAAGCAATAGAACAAAATGATTGGTTCACTTAAATTTCATTAAAATAGTATAAGAACCAACAAAGGAAAATTTATGTTTAAAAATTGAGGAATATGATTTAGATACAAGTTTAATAGAACTGTTACAAAATCTTGAATTTCTTAAGGTCAGCAATTCAAAACAACCAGCTGTTCCACAGGAGAAAGATGAGGTGTTCTGCTCCCATAAAGATTTACAGCCTCGGAAACCCTGGACAGGGTCGCTATGAGTTGGAACCAACTCCATGGCACATAACAACAACAACAACCATATTCCTTGGATTTTCCTTGAAATTTATGTTCAGGGATACTTGTAATTTTAATCTTTTTATCTCTCTTTATTTTCCTATTTATTTATGTGTGCTTTACTTCTCTGCAGTTTAACAACACGTTGCTGTACTGTGTGCCCAGATTCAGCTTGGTGGGATCTAAATTCACAGTTCGGACTAAGGTTGGCATTGATGGAATGAAAATTGTAGAGACTCACAATGAAGAATATCCGCACACTTTTCAGGTGTCTGGGAAAGAGAGAACGCTGGAATTGCAGGCCAGGTAAGCGAACCACTCCTGTCATTCTGAAAGCATCAGAGTAAATCAGAGAATAGAATGGTTTTGAGGGGGTTTCTGAGACTCTATTTATAGGTAAATGGAGAGCCATGAGCTCTGAAAAGTCAAGGATCTTGTCTTCCTCTCCAGTACCTAGGGTAGTTTTTTTGCAGACAGTAAGCATTTAGTACATTGAATTTTCATATTACAAGGTGCTCAGGGAATCAAGTTATTGGAAGCAAGCTAGAATTTTGAAACTTGCAAGGGAAGGTCTACTTCTAATCCTTCTTCCCTTAGATCGTTCTTTTTGGTCTACAAATATGTTATCCATGTTAAATGTTGGAGCCATAACTATGAATCCTTCAGAGGCTCTGCATTCAAGGGACTCAAGGTTTAATACCATTTTAATGGAGAGAAATGTCAGGTGAAGCCAGGGTGGTAAGGGCAACAATTCTCTTGCTATAGCTGGAGGGTTCCAGAAGGGGAGAACTGTGTGAAACTCAGGCAGCCTCTACAACCACCTTAGATATACGAATTTAGTTACCACCTGAAGGCCTAAACTTGAGGCTTTAAAAGAAGAATAAAGTATTTTAACAGGAATTATGGTTTTCCTACCTTAGATCATGGGATTTAGGTCCCAGGCATCCAACACTAGGAAAAATGCATGACGTTGCACTGGAGTCTCCTAATATGAGTCCTTAATAATAAACCTTCAGTGGTTGGCTCACTGAATTATTGGCCCTGGTAACTGGGGGCATTCATTAATGGTTTTCATCATCATAGAAATCCTCCTTGCAGCAGAAAGCAGGTGTGCTGGCCCAGAAATTTCAGCATACTTCCAAATATGCAAACTTGGTGTGTCTAAACAGCAGGGGAGGTAACTAACACTAGAGAGATTTCAGCTACTTATCAGCAAGTTAGGTTGTTTTTCCTCCACAATGAAGGACTAGTGAGGAATTTCCCTAATTACACACAGGCCTGGCTTTGCACAGTTCTGATATGTCATATTGGATACATTCTCATTAATGTTAGAAACAGTCTTTGTTTTTTCCTTACATTTCTTGTTTCCCCATATTTCCTTGCTTTAGTTATAGTTATGATTATATACTGATACTGAAAAGGAGCTCTGGTAGCATAATGGTTACAAATCGGGCTGCTAACCATAAGGTCAGCAGTTCGAAACTACCAGCCATTCCACGGCTCCCGTAAAGATTTACAGCCTCGGAAACCCTGTGCAGGATCACTATGAATTGGAACCGACTCCACGGTACTTAACAACAACAACTGATATGGAAAAGCTTTAATCCAATCTGTGGCGCTGTAGGATCAGCACTGGACTGCGAACCATAAGGTTGGCAATTCACACCTACCAGCCACTCCTTAGAAACCCTCTACAGGGTCGCTGTGAGTCAGAACTGACTCAATGGCACTTAATAACAATAACAACAATCATTACTGAATCTTGAAATAAAAATGAAGATGTTGAAGGTCCTAGAAAGTCAGTGTCAGAGGAATTACATGAAGCCAAAATTTGGGAATATATGTGGGTTATTTCAAGAGAATTGACTGGAGACAGGGATTAAACATTGTGTTGAGCCCTCCTATCTCAGCTTACCACAAGTCTCTTTACTATAATGTTGTTGTTATTAAGTGCTGTCGAGTCGGTTCACACCCATAACGACCCTGTAGAAGGTTTCCGAGGAGTAGCTGGTGAGCTTGAACTACCGACCTTGCAGTTCAAACGGCTTTGCAGTCTGGCACATTAACCCACAGCACCACACCATGACTCCTTTACTTTAATAAACCTCTTTAAGTGGAAAAGAAAAGAAAGAGCATTTACTTCTGAAACCAACAGAGGAAATGGGGTTCTACTTTTCTGACAGGTTATGAGTCAGCTTCAAGAGTGAACCCTTAAGCTTCCTCTTCCACATTCATAATAAAAAGCATTGTTTTATATAGTTTTATTTCAATAATTTAAAATTGTTAAATAGAAATAAAAATTATGGTACTAAGTCAATTAAACAAAAGAGAAAAAAAGTCTGCCCAAACTCAAAAAAAAAGGGAAAAAAAATTAAAACTGTCAACTTTCTTTGTTTACATGTAAATGGTAGCAGCAGCAGTTAGTAAGTATCTATGCTTCTGCTGCAAGAGAGCTAATTTTGTCTGGGGAGTTAGGGGCAGGAGAAGGCAGCAGGAAGAAGATCTTTTAAAAGGATATGGTTGAAGCCTTCAGGCTCAAGTCCAAGGACTTCCAGGTAGGCAGTAAGCAGTCTTTCATTGGCAGGTACAGGCTCAAGCAGCACTTTTGGCACATCATGGTTCTCAGTAATACATTTGTTGGAAAGATAGATGGTGCCATTGAAGCCAAACCTCTAGCAAGACTCATGCATATTTTACAACCGTGGGGACAAGTCCTGTGATATTCATGCTGGAACGCAAACTTAGTCCTACCCTACCAGATACATGCTCACAGCCCACTCTTCAGAAACTCCTTCAGCTGGAAGATGTTTCCCAATGCACAGTCCACTAAAGGAGATATTTCAAAAATGGTATATGACTGTGGCATAAGCTATCTGCAGGGAAGCGGAAAGAAAATTTACCTCCAACAGGAAAAGAGAGCACTTGGCTAGTCAAGGAAAAATTTTTCCAAAGGGGAATGATTAGAATCTTGGGTCCATTAATCTGTTATATCTCCTTCCTGTGGATATTAAAATATTTTATGTTTTATCTGTAATGGATTAAGCATGGTACTGCCTGAAACCTCTTAGCAATAGGAAAATAAAATTGTTTATTAAAAAAATATTAAATAGCTCCCTAAGGCCATACAAAGATAGTTTAGATTCTCAGACAATAATTGCAATCTGTTCTAAGATGAGCTGTGTGTAGTACCTTCAATAACCTTCATGTGATTATGAAAACAAGACTTGGAAGACTAGTTGTTTTATATACAGTATAATACTAGATATGCTTTATACTATACACACAACATATACAACTAGATGATTGTTGTTAATACCAGGGCAGTATATTAATGGAAGCTGGCGCTGTGGGCTAATGTGTCAGACTGCAAAGTTGTTTGAACTACAAAGTCGGTGGTTCATGCTCAGCAGCTGCTCCTTGGAAATCCTATGGAGGGTCGCTGTGGGTCGAATTGACTCAATGGCACTTAGCAACAACAACAAATTTAACACTCCCCACTGAAAATTTTGTGTACCAAAAGAAGTGACTGTCTAAAACTCTTTTTAAGAAGAATTTAATTTTCAAAATCATTAAAAAAAAAAAAAAAAAAGACCAGGCTTACTGATCACATAGAGACTGGTGAAACCCACAAGATTATGACCCTTAGTCATACTTCAGATCTGGAATTGAACTTAACTCCTATGATTCAATTTTCAGCCAAAGAGCAGACAATCTGTAAGGGTAATGGTAACATCAGGGAGGTACTCACACCTTAAAATAATCAATGGTTTGAGACAAAGTTCACATGAGTCAGAAAAAACAGAAGACTGGAAACAGGAAATATAGGGAGGAGGACGTAGGATAAGTGGTGGTGCACTGAGGGGATTGCAGTCAAGGAGAGGATACAAAATGGGCATAATTGTCAAATATAAAACTGATGATCTGCTTTATAAACTTTCACCCAGTTCACAATACAAAGTTTTTCTCAACTGAAGAATTTATTTAATTGCCAGAGGTTCTATGTAATTTAGATTGTAATTCCTTCCTGGACATCTCTGGATTTTTTGTAAAGTTGGAATAACATCAAAGCACAGCTTTCTTCGTCAGTTGTAACCCGTTAATGTTCTCTGCATTCATTTTAAAGCTTGCTTTTTTTGTTTGTTTAGTTCTGAGCAAGACAAAGAAGAATGGATCAAGGTAAACCTGATTTCTATCTTTATTTTTTTTTGGTACCTCTCTATGTGCATACAAATATGCATACACTATTGTGTTTGCTTAATATGCAGTCGTCAGAATAAGTTGATTTAATTTTCAAGGTGATTCTAATCACTATTATTTAGTAAAGCATTTTCATTACTTTGCATGTGATATTTAAATCTGCTTTGAATTTCACTTCTACTTTAGGCCCTTCAAGTGACTATTGATACTTTCCATCAAAGGCATGAAACCTTCAGAAATGCAATTGCAAAGGATAATGATATTCACTCAGAGGTTTCTGTAAGTTGAATCAAATTATTAACTTTAAACTCTTCTATCTCTTTATGGTTGCTAAAAATTTAATCAATCATTTTGTTATCTAACCTTTTTCCCTTTGAGATGGCCAGAACTGGATGATGTTTACAAGGACTCTCATTCCTTCTTAGATAAATGATAGCGAGTGCCTTTTCATAGGGCTTAAACTTCTTTGTCATTTCTTTGCATGGGTCTTAAGTTTCAGAATATGGTTTGAACAATGTTGTTAAAGTGTTTTTTAATAAATACATAAAAGGAATGAAAAAGTTTTCTGTTAAAATTAGTGTCTTTTTCCTTTTTAGACTGCTGAGCTAGGAAAAAGAGCCCCAAGATGGATCCGAGACAATGAAGTCACAATGTGTATGAAATGCAAAGAGTCTTTCAATGCACTGACAAGGAGAAGGCATCATTGTCGAGCATGTGGACATGTAAGTGAGATGCCTGGTCATTAAGGTGGTGTGTACTTATGTAAGTGATGTAAAATAATCAATTTGGAAAAGCAGATAAGTCATTCAGTAAATCTCTTAATCAGTAAATTTATATTAGTGCCAACTATATGCATGGAAGCAGCAGCCAAGAAATCAAACTGCATATTACATTAGGCAAATCTGCTGCACAAGACCTTTTTTAAAGTGTTGAAGAGCAAAGATGTCAGTTTGAGGACTAAGGTGGGCCTGACCCAAGCCATGGTATTTTCAATAATGTCATATACATGCAAAAGTTGGACAGTGACTCAGGAAGACTGTAGAAGATTTGATGCTTTTGAATTATGGTGTTGGAGGACAATATTGAAAGTGCCATGGGCCGCCAAAAGAACAAGCAGATCTGTGTTGGAAGAAGTAAAGCCAGAGTGCTCCTTGGAGACCAGAATGGCCAGACTTCATCTCTTATATGCCAGACATACTGTCAGGAGGGGCCAGTTGCTGGAGAAGGATACCATGGTTTGTAAGGTGGAAGGAGGGTCAGAGAAAAAGAGGAAGACCCCCAGCAAGTTGGATTGGCCAAGTGGCAGCATCAATGGGCCAAGCATGGCAACAATTGTGAGGTTATCCCAGGACCGGGCAGTTTTTCATTCTGTTGTGCATAGGGTCTCTAAGAGTTGGTACTGACTTGATGGCATCTAACAACAACAACAATATGCAAAAAGTACTGTGCTTGGCTCTGGAGGAAAAAATGATAAGCAAAATGATAGCTGGCTACACAGACCCTACATTCTAATGAAGAAAACAGATCAGTGACAAGCAAATGGACAAAAATTTTCCATGATTATAGATTATATAAAAAATGCAATCAAGAAGCTAAAATAGAAAATAATGGTAGTGGAGGACGATTTGGAACCAATATTAGAAAGAAAAAGGGAGGCCTTTCTGAGGAGTTGATATCTAAGCTGTTGCCTAATCTAGAAGAAAGAACATTCTATGCATTAGATTCTCTGTGCCAAAGATTTTTAGGGAGGAAAGAGTTTGGTCTATCCTAAAGGCTGCAGATTATAATGAGTCAGGAGAAGAGTGGCATAAAAAATGGGGACAGAGTTAAATAACCAAAGGAGTTGATGCATTTGAAAGACAAGTAAAGATGGAACCCATGACACAAATGGCAGTTTTAGTGGAGAGGGAAACTCTCCTTCATTATAAACAGAAGGATAAAAGTAAAAGATCTGTGCAGTTGTTGGTAGATTTTTGGTTCGGTGATGGGTAATAAGGGAATTTAGATCTAATGACATCCAAATTTTCACTGCAGCATGGTATAAAGGAAAAGGCTAAGGAGTGAGGGGCACTCAGAAAGCAAGGAGTAAGTATGAAAAAGTTAGCTCTGAGTGTGGGAAACTTGAACCTACCAGGGACACAAAGGTGGTTTTCTGCACACCCATTAGTGGTTTACAGCTATAAAATTAAAGAGACACTAGTCAACTTGGGAGTCATGGTGTGGCACTAGACCACAAGGTAAGTTTGAACCGCAAGGTCAGTGGTCCAAGCTCCTCCCCAGCTGCTCCTTGGAAACACCAGACAGGGTTGCTATGAGTTGGAACCAACATGACCACATTTAACAACAGTCAGCTTGGAGGTAACTGTTCTCTGACAAGATTAAACAAATAAAGCCAGAGAATACAAAAATGATGGGATTCATCTAGAGTAAGTATCATGAAAAAATAGTGGGAGAGAGTTCAAGGTATTAGCATGGGAAGGAGTGTTAATAATAAATCAGTGAAGTCTAGACTAGATCTAGAAGGAGCTCTGGTAGTGTAGTGGTTATGAGTTGGGCTGCGAACCTTAAGGTCAGCAGTTCAAAACTACCAGCTGTTGCATGGG